TGGTTCTCAGGGAAGATTGTCACTGTACTAAGCCCTTCATCATTATGTCAACACAGATATATCAATATATTTTACTCAGGCGTCAATATATTTCACACTTGTATCTATATCACATAAAGACATGATGTAACGTACACAAGTCGCTAATAAAGGCCCAATAAACCCCTGATGTACGAGGTAACAACAAACAAATACTGAAATACGACCCAAGTAACATGTTATCGTCCACCAGCAGCGGGAAGGTGAGGAACTGCTTCACTCACTGTTATTACTATAAGAATAGATCACGTCTTTTAATGTGACTGTGTCTGCTCTTATTCTTCTCTGTCTGTGTATTTCGTTCTTAATACATCATCAAACAGCCAACATATACTGTGTCTCAGAGTATCATCACAAGAGGTCTTAGCCCACAGTCCCACAGTTGATAATTGCAGGTCTCTTCACCTTAGTTCCCTCACGCCCCTTCCTTACGCCCCTCCCTCACGCCCCTCCCTCACGCCCCTTCCCCACGCCCCTTCCTCACGCCCCTTCCTCACGCCCTTCCTCCGCCCCTTCTCCACTCTCCCCTCACGCCCCTTCCTCCGCCCTTCCTCCGCCTCTCCCTCACGCCCTCCCTCGCCCTCCTCCACGCCCCTCCCTCCGCCCCTCCCTCACGCCCCTTCCCCACGCCCCTCCCTCACGCCCTCATGTTATACATTATTAAGCTATATTAGTTTTTAATGGCTTATTTAAAACCACAATTATACATTTTACTTCTTCTTGGTCACATAACTATTCCTTAAGACATGGCGCCCTGTCCTTAAACTTATTATGGTTAGCAGTAAACAAAGGCCTGCTGTTGGGGCTTTATAATACCCTTATATAATATTGTGGCTTAAATTAACTGTTTCTCCCATAAATCATCATAGCACAAGTGTAGAAACTGACTGAATGGAAACATCTTGCCCCCAACCAAGTGGCGACCCTCTCCTTATTCTTTACCAACGACTGTACTCTTCAACTAACAGGAACAACCAGGATACTAACAATATTCTTAGTTAACACCACAAATTAATGAACACACTCGTCCATCGGGTCATGATAACAACAGCAGTAGGACTGTACTCACTTTGTCCTGGTGGTAGAGGAAGCCTTGGGGCACCCGACACGTATTGGGCCAGGGACCATCATGTCTTGGCCAGGGACCATCATGTCTTGGCCAGGGACCATCATGTCTTGGCCAGGGACCATCATGTCTTGGCCAGGGACCATCATGTCTTGGCCAGGGACCATCATGTCTTGGCCAGGGACCATTCTGCCAGAAACAACATTCATGGATGAGACTCAGTTCTACTTTCATTATATACAACTTTAATGATATTTAAACCCAAGTTCTATAGAGAGTAACCAAGAGATGCAGATACACATACATACAGGTACACATACATGCAGGTACACATACATGCAGGTACACATACATGCAGGTACACATACATGCAGGTACACATACATGCAGGTACACACACATGCAGGTACACATACATGCAGGTACACATACATGAAGGTACACATACATGGAGATACAGACACATAGGGTTCTATGAATATCATATCATGGTGACGTAAAAGGCTTCAATTATGCTGGATTCCTATATGATAAATTATATTATTTTACCTTTACTGTTACGGTGTTAAATGGCCTCTCTTAATATATTATTCTCGTGCCTCTATAAACTTGAGTCAATATGTTGCCATCATCACCTGAACGACACTTTAAAAGGCTTTGTCCTGGTTCTAAACTATCACATTCATTCTGTTATCAATATAAAATAAATGGCTCAAACTGGTATCTTAATTTCATATCAAAAAGACTTGTATTAAATGTTATTACCATATACCTAATGACCTAAATGTCTTAATTAACTGTTAAATACCTTGATTGGACAAAATGGCTTACTCTCATCACGTGATAAATGGCCTATGATAGTGTGGGTTTGGTTAATATTAAATGACATGAGTGAATAAGTTAACCTCACGTGATCAAAGGTCCTTTATGGTGGCCATGGTTGTGGTAAATGGCTTCAGGTAAGACAGTGTAAAATGGCCTCACAAATAATACAGACATTTATATTCTGGTGTACGGATTAAATGTCATTATTATTATTAAGTTGAATGAAATGACGTGAATAAATTAATGTCTTTATAGTATTAAGAAACGTGTATTAAATAGCTATTATATTAATTACACAACAATAAACTTTTTAGTGTATTATATTTTTCTCGTATCAAATGGCAGGATTTTTTTAGCTACGTGATACTACTGGATGGTAAATGGAAGATAAGGAACTGGTGTCACAGAGTAAATTATGAGGCAAAGGTTAGGTTAGGTTGGGTTAAGTTAGCATGGTCATCTCTTAACTAATAGTACCAGGTTTGATTCCCGAAGTGTGTGTGTGTGTGTGTGTGTACTTTTATCACCTTTTTTTACGGGAGTATTTATGTGTACGTATATAAACCGCCTGTATGTACACATGTGCACCTGGTGGTTATTAAGGTACACACAACTATAAGTACACTGGAGTCGTTGTAATCAAATGGTATATATTTGCTGACACAACACTAACAATTATGTAAGGAAGAAAAAAGCAACACATTATAATAGTTTAGCCTTGAGGTGATAGGCGTCTCCGATCACACAAAACGAGCCTCGTCTATACCCCATAACACACTAGCGGTTACGTTCTAATATCGCTTCTCATCGCGTTTTTTGCGCATATTACACAAATTATACCCGACTGGTCCATTGCAAATCAGAAACCGTGTTGCCTGGTGCTGCGCGCTCTAAATTGCGCCTTAAATGGGGCCTCTGGGGGAGCAAATTGGCCGAGTAAGCTCTGGGCCGCGGCTGCCGGTACCGACCCCAGCGCCAGCGGTGGTGAACGGGAAGATTTCTTTTTTGACGTCGTTCTAGGCGTTCGTCAGACGCTCGCTGGTGAGGGAGGGAGAGGACAGGAAGGGGGGCCAGGGTAAGCACTAGCCTTTCATTAATGATTGCACGCTAATGGAGCTGTTAGTGAACTGTGAATGAGGTAATTATAGAGTAGCATGGACCGGGTCTGGCTCACCGATCCAATGGTGATTAATTATGGTCAGCTCATCCCCACGTCTACCCTGCTGCTGCTGCTATATAGTGTGACCTTAGCTGCTCTACACTCCTCTCTCCTTCACCTATAGACGACACACACACACACACACACTACACACACACACCACACACACAGACACACACACACACACACACACACACACACACACACACACACACACAGACACACACACACACACACACAGAACACAGACACACACACACACACAGACACACACACACACACACACACACACACACCACACACACACACACACACACACACACACACACGTAGTAAACACAAATTACGGTACTTGTAGTAAGGCAGCAGCCCCCTGGTAGTTGGTGGTGGTCAGTCAGCCATCAAATACTGCGAGTTAGGTGTCACACGAGACGCTACACTGACGTAGTTTTTTTACTCGATACCGATTGATAAAAGACGACAGAGAAGTGGACCAGTATTTGTTGTCTCGTAAACAGGTTAAAGTTTCTATATTTAAACAACCCTGAACTGTTTGTTTTGGTAGACAGTGTTTACAAGGTGTGTTGTGGTTGTTACTGAGGTCTGTTTATTGTTTACACTATAAGTTTGTTTTCTGTTGTATATTAGTTAAAACAGATAATAATAATGTCTTTTCTCACAAACATGAATTAATAGTCTAACTCACCCAGTCAGTTTTAGTTCTTTACAATACAACACTGTTCTGTAATGTAACACGACTTTACCTTCTGTAACTGATATCATAACCCGTGTCTATATCAACATAACCCAATATTTACAAAGCTTTATTTATACAATTATAAGACTAATAGACTATCGCCAGACATGACCCATTAAATGATATGAGTCGCAGCGCTGCCCCTTGAGGTGTACCGAACTGTATCTCTATATTACAAGAGACTGAATAAACCTGAAGAAAGACTTGACCTCACCCAGGAACTCTGACCTTAACCTAACCTAACCAAAGAAGATACATCTCTCCTCTGTACTTCATTAATGCTTCCCTGAGAATAATATCAGAGTTCTTCTCTTATTACTTATATTATGTTGCTTCTGTTCTTAATAAACCTTAAATATAACCCGTTTAGCATTATTCCTTACGAGTCTTACAGGAACAACATATTTATAACGTGGTCGGTTACAACACAACTCCTTCCCTCTCTCGCTGTTATGGTCGGTTACAACACAACTTCCTCTCTCTCTCTCTCTCTCTCTGTTATGGTCGGTTACAACTCCCGCTCTCGCTGTTAAGGTCAGTTAATCATCATGAATTATTATTTCCAGGTCTCGGGGATCAGATATCAGGGTTCCCTCACTCCGGGATGTGATTCCCTCTACAGGTCGACAAAAACACGGGACACGGGCCTCAGTACCTGCCCAGCTATCCTGACCTGGAAGTAACAGAGAAAGTTTACTGCATAATTGTTTTTTTAATGTTCTAAGTGGTGTTTCTACCTGTGGGTGGGGGTTCTGTACCTGGGGGTAGAGGTGTTGGCGCGAGGGGGTGTGTAATAATAAGGTCTTTTGATTTACGGATTATTAAAGATTGTTTCAGTAGTTGTTGTTGTTGTGGCGGCGGGGCTGGTGGTACAATATTTTTGCACCAATCACAAGACAGAATATCAATTATAGGCCGGACAGTAACCAATCAAATCTTAGCCACCTTAATATTAGCTGCAGGTATCTGAGTGTCTGCTGCAGGTATCTGAGTGTCTGCTACAGGTATCTGAGTGTCTGCTGCAGGTATCTGAGTGTCTGCTGCAGGTATCTGAGTGTCTGCTACAGGTATCTGAGTGTCTGCTGCAGGTATCTGAGTGTCTGCTACAGGTATCTGAGTGTCTGCTGCAGGTATCTGAGTGTCTGCTGCTGTATCTAAGTGTCTGCTACAGGTATCTGAGTGTCTGCTGCAGGTATCCTGAGTGTCTGCAGGTATCTGGTGTCTGCTGCAGGTATCTGAGTGTCTGCTGCAGGTATCTGAGTGTCTGCTACAGGTATCTGAGTGTCTGCTGCAGGTATCTGAGTGTCTGCTGCAGGTATCTGAGTGTCTGCTACAGGTATCTGAGTGTCTGCTGCAGGTATCTGAGTGTCTGCTACAGGTATCTGAGTGTCTGCTGCAGGTATCTGAGTGTCTGCTACAGGTATCTGAGTGTCTGCTGCAGGTATCTGGTGTCTGCTGCAGGTATCTGAGTGTCTGCTGCAGGTATCTGAGTGTCTGCTGTAGGTATCTGAGTGTCGTTAGTGTGGGTAGTGAGTGTTTTTAAAGTATAATAATATACAATAATTGACCTCTTGTTCACATAATAATCATCACTACGTCAGACCAGGTGAACACAGGTAGATAGTGCTGAGGCTATTGAGTTACCTGAGTGGTCTATTGAGTTACCTGAGTGGTCTATTGAGTTACCTGAGTGATCTATTGAGTTACCTGAGTGATTTATTGAGTTACCTGAGTGATCTATTGAGTTACCTGAGTGATCTATTGAGTTACCTGAGTGGTCTATTGAGTTACCTGAGTGATCTATTGAGTTACCTGAGTGATCTATTGAGTTACCTGAGTGGTCTATTGAGTTACCTGAGTGGTCTATTGAGTTACCTGAGTGGTCTATTGAGTTACCTGAGTGATCTATTGAGTTACCTGAGTGATCTATTGAGTTACCTGAGTGGTCATACCTCACCAAACACTCATCAAGGACACCACACACTCCACCTTGATGAGGCTCTTACAAACACACTTCCTGGGTCATGACTCAAGTGTGACTCAATAACATGAGCACTTATCTCCTGCCCTGAGTGTGTTCTGAGTGTGTCTCACCAGTAAAGTCACCATCATCGACACCTCCCCAACTCTGCTCACATGTTTCCCACTGTACAATGAGACATTATTCCTCGACGCACCTTCCTTAATCCGTGACCCAAATTCCTCATTGTTTTCTCAGCCATTTCGTCTCTATGTCACAGTAATGCTCAGTCACGTTCCTCAAGTGTGTTTACGGAACGCCAACACCTTCTCAGTCTCTCACCTTCTCAGTCTCTCACCTGAATCAATAAAAGGTTAATTATCTGGATTAGAAAAAGTTAAAGCTGGTATAAATATTTTCAAGATACACTTATTTGTGCGTATATATAAATTATTATAAACAGATTCTTTAATGTTTACACAGTACACAGAAGAGAACCATCGCACTTTTCTCTATGTAAACAAAAACTACGTCAAGAATCCGGATACATAAACAACATAAGCGGATATTTCAACAAAAACGACCAATATCACAATATATCCGGATTTTACCACCATAGACTCATATAACGGGTTTTAACTACAATATCAACACCACATAACACCTCAAAAAGAATAAATTGGACTGTCAACACCATATAATCTGGATACATCACCAAGAACCATTAAATAACACCAAAATACGGCTTTAAAACCTTAGAAAAACGCCTGACAGGTAATCCACTCTGACGTCACAAGAACTCGGCGGCGCGGCGTGAGAGAGAGAGAGGGAGGAAGTTGCCAGCTCGGATTAATGGCGCCAAGGTACCAATACATTACGCGGTAAATTCTTACCTAAACAATGGTCAAAAGAATACCATAGCAAGTAGTCAAGATGTGAGCGACTAGTAACTACCATAAACTATCTCCTTCCTCTGAAATTACTAACAGCTCGATAGTATCTAAGACCCTCGTATATAAAATGAAGGGAAGCAAATTACTGACAATTTCTGAACCTTTCCTCGCGCTTCTTTCAAATTACTGACACCTTTATAAGCAGGACGATAAGGAAAGGGCAAAAAATACGTGTTCAGTAAGGATTATCGGGAGAATATGACCGAGGTGTTGATCTGTGAAACGGTTGGTAACACTGTAATCAGGACCTTCACCCGGCGATGGTAACACTGTAATCAATACTTAGCGAGAGATGGAAAGACAAAAACAGATTCAGGGTTTTTTTTGTATTCGAGAAAAGTAAAAAAAAAAAAAGGTTAGGTTAGGTTAGGTTAAGTTTGGTTAGGTTAGGTTAAGTTAGGTTAGGTTAGGATTGGTTAGGTTAGGTTAGGATTGGTTAGGTTAGGTTAGGTTAGGATTGGTTAGGTTAGGTATCCATTTAAGGTTTACATTACTTATTATTCTATATTTTCTTATATATGGTTTATTCTATGCTTATATTTTTGTTTGTTTCTCTTATATACATCTGTTTATATTGTTTTATTTTCATCTATATTTGTCTATCTTTATACATCTCTCTCTCTCTCTCTCTCTCTCTCTCTCTCTCTCTCTCTCTCTCTCTCTCTCTCTCTCTCTCTCTCTCTCTCTCTCTCTCTCTATCTCTCTCTCTCTCTCTCTATCTATCTGTCCATCAATCAATCAATATCTGTCAATACTCCCATTTAAGACAATTAGTTTGGCCACACTTCTGTCAGTGGCCACCTCTAGGGAGATAACACGACCTGGGCCACACCTCTGGGTGGTCTCCACATATTAACTAGCATGACTGGCCACATCATTCCAGCAGGGAGCCACACCCCACAACCGTATGCTACCACATCACTACCACACTACCACTACACCACCACACCAACAGGGAGTCACACCACACCTCTGTACTACCACACTACCGCCACACCACCACACCAGCGGGGAGCCACACCCCACCCCTGTACTACCACACCACTGCCACTACTCCACCACACCAGCAAGAGCCACACCCCACCTACTGCCACTACCCACCACACCACCAAGGGCCACACTATGCATAAGAACACAAGAATGGAGGAAACAGCAGCGGGCCTATTGGACGGTAGTTAGAGGATAGTGATCTATCCCCCTTCTTGAAAATCGGTATTACATTCGCTATCCTCCAGGATTCTGTTACTACACCCGTTTTTATGGACATGTTAAACAACTTTGCTAAGGGCATACTAAGCTCTTCCTTACATTCCTTTAATACTCTGGCAATATCTCATCGGGACCAGGTGACTTATTAGGCTTTAATTTGTCTATTTGCTTACTAACATCGTTACTACTATCTCACTTAATGTGTTTTCTTCACCACCTCGGTATAGAGTCGGTGCCTCTGTTTATATACTGATGTACTTATGAATCTATCAACTTTTACTTGTATTTCCTTTACCTGTAATGTTTTATTTTATATATGAAGTCAAATGTAATAACAATGTTCGTCCTGTATCGTAGAGCACTGAGCCCTGACAAGACTTAGGCTCGGCCTCCCTCTGGTGTGGTCCACGGGATAAATAATGACACTTAATAACCTTTATTAACTAGTACTAACACACACACACACACACACACACACACACACACACACACACACACACACACACACACACACACACAAACACACACACACACACACACACACACACACACACACACACACACACACAAACACACACAAACACACACAAACACACACACACACACACACACACACACACACACACACACACAAACACACAAACACCACACACACACACACACACACACACACACACACACACACACACACACACACACACACACACACACATAGGTCATTACACACACACACACACACACACACACACACACACACACACACACACACACACAAATAAAAATATATATCAAAAGAACTAACATACTACCATAACACAAGAACAACAACAACAAAGAACAAACAACAACAACAACAACAACAACAACATATAAACCCCAAATAATAAACCTCATCTATAAAACCGTCCCATTTATTTAGCGATTAGCAACATAATGAAGATAAATGGATCTTTTTTATTTATAGAGGAACAAAAAAAACCACCAAATCATTAATCAGACGAGACAGTAATGGCTAACAATGTCTCCATAAATTTACCTGTCATTAAAAATCAAGTAATGACAGGTGACTGCATAAACCACCTTGATAAATTAGGCAGGTAAGGTTCTGTATGAGTTATGGCCCCTAATATAAGGAGTAGGTGAGGGCTCTCTCTCTCTCTCTCTCTCTCTCTCTCTCGCTCTCTCTCTCTCTCTCTCTCTCTCTCTCTCTCTCTCGTGGTAACTGTATATACACCCTCCTTACACCACTAGTCGACCAGCTGTAACCACGAGAGAGAGAGAGAGAGAGAGAGAGAGAGAGAGAGAGAGAGAGAGAGAGAGATTTATTGTAGATCCACTGACTAAAATAATTGTCCCTTAATTCCACATTTTAATATATTATTCAGGTACAAAACAGGTTAGGATAGGTTAGGATAGGTTAGGATAGGTTAGGATAGGATAGGTTAGGATAGGTTAGGATAGGTTAGGATAGGTTAGGTTAGGTTAGGATAGGTTAGGATAGGTTAGGATAGGTTAGGTTAGGTGACCCATTTGTGTGGACCATTACAGTATTGACTGAGCTAAAGTGTGTGTTGTGTTGACCTCTATATAAGTCCTTCACCTGTTGCTACTCTCACTCCCAAGGAAACTAAACAGAGGTACAATTTTATCATACTAATTACAGGTGAGATCAGACCAGGTAAAGAATAACTAATTAGTCTAGGTTTGGATTTTATGTTTAATCAGAAAAAACTATAAGATGTAGTGGTTTTAGACGTCAATATATACGGTCCTACTTGAGGTAACACTTAAGATGGCGTCCCTGAATACCCCTACCCTCGTCAGTAGTGTCAAGTGAGTGATCCTGGGGTCCATGAATACCCCTACCCTCGTCAGTAGTGTTAAGTGGGTGATCCTGGGGTCCCTGAATACCCCCACCCTCGTCAGTAGTGTCAAGTGAGTGATCCTGGGGGTCGGGTTCATTTAACTCGTCGACGTCTCGCTCTTGAGGTAATATATTGATAAAAACTGAGTGGGTTCAGAGCGTCACCTTGCTGTACCCCGGAGTGAAGATGGTTTAATTCTGTCTGTCTGTCTGTCCTGTCCTGTCTGTTTGTTCTGTCTGTCTGTCTGTCTGTCTCTAACCTTTCTTTCCCTGAACTCTATATTTTTCACACACACACACACACACACACACACACACACACACACACACACACACACACACACACACACACACACACACACACACACTACCCCTACGTGTCTCCCCTCCCTCCAACACTACCTCAACGTGTCTCCCCTCCCTCAACACTACCTCCAACGTGTCTCCCCCCTCCTCCAACACACCTCCAACGTGTCTCCCCCTCCCTCCAACACTACCTCCAACGTGTCTC